TTTTTTTTTTTTTTAGCGAGGTTACCTTTACAATTTAAGCCACTCGATGTAAAGATCTAAGATAAATAAGGAGAAATTTATATGTATAGGAGGGGAAGATAACGGTTAACCCTAGCCTTGAACAGGTTAAGATTGTAGTGATCGGGGAAACATCTTGTTGAGAGTCGGGCATTGGTTCGCGGGAAGAGGCTGTTCGAGAGGAATTTACTTTCTCAACGAGGGAATACCAAGGGACGTGAGTGGTTTGATACTATGTAAGGGGCATGGTGGGTCCTTGCCGTGAACGTTTGCCTCGGCGGGATGTAGTATATATATATATATATATTTATATATAATATGCGGTATAGCAAAGAGAAGCATGGCACATCCCACCTGTTGGAGAGAGGTTGAAGGGTGAGGAATAATTCTTCACCCACAAGGGCTCGTATACGCTTTTGGACACTATCAAGGCTGCGGAGTGAGATCTGCCCACCTCTCGCATTTCTGTAAATGAAAATTTTTTGGCCTGATCTGGTTCTTGTAAAGGTAGAGGATTGCAAGAGGAGTCAGGTATTTACTGGAGCGGTACAGGAAGCCGACCATTTTCCCTGGATCCTTATCAATGGCTCGTGTGTAGCAGTTCCACTTGACGTCGGGTGTGAGTTTAAGGCCAAACAGTCTTTCTAGGCACTGCGCTTCCCTAAGAGGACCTCCGTTCATCCTGATTGGTATTAATTTTGGCTCGGATCGTTGACGATAGAACTAGGTTGGTCTTCGAGACATTAAATGTAACCATCCAATTTTTACCCCATTGTATAGTTTGTACATGTTCGAAAGAGAGATCTCTGTCCAAAAACATTGAAGCATTTATCAACGTAAAATTATTTTAATGCCAAATTTAAACATTAAATATATCAGTTTTATGGCTTAAACAACATTATATTTTGAACGCAACATTAGGCCTTCATCTACAGACATTTTGTACATTGTTTTACAGATAGAAAGTGCTATATATAAATTGTTTAAATTACGAAAAAATGAAAATAACACTGACATCTCATTTTAACATATATTTACCAAAATTACAAAAAAATATCTTGAAATACTACAGAGTAAATTTATTCAATAAAATCCCCATTGTCTTCAACCACGGCCTCCAGACGACTTCGGAATCTCCTGCAACTGTTTCTGGACAGTTTCCTTGTTTAAGTTGTTGAATGCTGCCATAATCCTTTGCCTTCAGTTCATCTTTTAATGTTCAAGGAGTTTTTGCCCCACATAATAATCAAGGGGGGAGTTAGGTGGCCAGATGTAAGGGGTGATGTGGTTGCAGAAATTGTCTGACAGCCATGACTGGGTTCTCCTGCTTGTGTGGCATGGTGCAGAGTCCTGTTGCCAGACATAGGGTCTTCCAGCAGCCACCCTCTTGACCCAGGGCAGCAATACCTCCTCAAGGCACTTGATGTAGGCCTCCGTGTTGAGTCTGAGGCCTCACCAACAAATTGAATGGAGGCATAACGTCGATCAGTGAGTTTTAGTGATCTGCAAACACCTTCGTAATCACCATTAGACTCATCCAACTCTTTCCGAATCCTCTGCACTGTCCTCAGATTGACACCCAAACACTCTGAAATGTTCGTATTGGAGCTTCCGGCGCGAATGCCAAGCAGTACAGCATGCCGTTTCCAAATTTCTGGCGGAGTGAATTGCGTCATGGTGCTCTTTTTCTCACAGACGGTGCCCAACTGACCCTACTATACTGTGCAGTCGACAAAATAAAAAACAAAAAAACGCGCATGCAAAAATTAAAAATATAAAATGGCGACAATTTACCCATCGCACCCTATATATAATATATATATATATATATATATATATATATATATATATATGTATTTAAATAAAATTATTATAAATATTATTTAAAATATTCAGGAAAAACAAAATTAAAAAACATTTTATTTAAATTTAAACAATGTTTTAATTGAATTTTATTTAAATAAAATTTATGGTGATTTTTAAAACATTTAAGATAAAATAATTAAAAAAAATTAATTTAAATTTTTTTAAAATTTTTAAATTAAAAATATATATTCTTCATAAATATAGTCAAAATTTTTTTGAAAATCAAATTTTATTTAATTGTTTTATTTTTAATTTGAATTTTAAATATAGATTAAAAAAAAAAATTCAATACAATATTTTATTTAATTATTACAATAAAAATCAATGCATAATTTAAAAAAAATTAAATCCTAAATAGAGAAATTTATTTTTGATTAATATTAAATATAAATAAAAAATAATAACATAATAAAATATTTTTTAAATTATATATTTTTCATTTATTTTTTTCAAATTTTCAAAATTTTACATTCAATATCATCATATTGAAAATTTTTTCACAAAAAAAATTAAAATTTTTTAAAATTATTAAAAAATATTTTATATTAATTATAAATTTTAATTCCAAATAAATTTTTTTGAAATTTAAATCATTTATGGGAATATTGAAATAAATATATATTATTAATGGATTTGAATTTTAAATCTTTTTTATTCTTTATTTAATTGTCCATTTTGTTTTTTTTGAAAAAATATTACTAATATGAAAACTTTTTTAAAAAAATTTTCCACTGAAAATTAAAAAAAAATTTTTTTATTTTTCATTTTTAAATTTTTTAAAAAAATTTTTTTTTTGTAAAAGTTTTTTTGGTTTTAAAATTTGTAAAATAAAAAATTTCAATCAAAATTAATAATATAATAATATTTGATATATAAATATTTTATTTTACAATATAAAATGTTTGTGATTTTGCAGGTTGACAAAAAAATTATATATTTGAAAATAAAATAAAATTTATAAAATTTAAAATAAAATAAAAAAAAAAAATTTTTTAAAATTCAAAAAGAAATTCTTTATATTTTATACATTATATTATTTATTTTCAAATTTCAAAATTTTATATTTGAAAATTTGCAAATAAAAAAATATAAAATTGAAATATTTTTTTATTAAAATGAAATTCCATGATTCAAAAATATTTAATTTTTTAATTCCCAAATTTTTATTTTATTTAAAAATTTTTAAAAATTTTTATTTAATAAAATAAAATTTATTTTTTAAAATAATTCATAATTTTTTTTAATAAAATATATATAATTTCTATATATTAAAAAATCTTAAAAAAAGTAAATTTTTTCAAAACTTTTAAATGTTTCTTTTTTATTTTTATTATTTAAAATATATAAATATAAAATTATTATTTCTATTTTAATTTTTATTTTAAAAATTTTATATTTCAAGAAAAAAAATATTATATTTTAGCAAATTTAAATTTCATTTTCAAATAAAAAATTCATTTTAATAAAGAAATCATTCTTTATCTTTTTTTATTTTCTTTATAT